TTTAATTTTGGAAATTTAGTAAATTTATTGATGGGTTTTTGTTGAATTTGGAAAATATTGTGTAATTTAAAGTATGAGCTTGTGCAAATTATGAACTTTTTTTTTACTCAATTATTAAATTGTAAGTGTGGTAGGTATGTGCTTTTGAAAATTGCAATAGTCACTCTAGATTAATAAGATGCTTTCTAGATGTCACTCTAGATTGCAATAGTCACTCTAGATTGCGATAGTCACTCTAAATTGCAATAGTCACTCTAGATTAATAAGATGCTTTCTAGATGTCACTCTAGATTGCGATAGTCACTCTAAATTGCAATAGTCACTCTAGATTAATTTGTTTGACTGTATTTTTTTTTTGTATGGTACAAATTATATTTTGTTCGTCAATTTCGCAGTATTGAATTGGGCTTGTGGTGTATTTTAGCTGTTTAAGAATAGTTTTGGATGGTTTTTGTACGATTTCATGGACATTCCACTCATTATCCTCGAATACTGATCTAATCAAATGACCCGATTTCTGTTAATTGTCATTCTCTATTTCTATTGCACTAATAAAACATTTGGTTATTATAGTTGACCATAACCAATATTTTTTTCTGGATACTTATGGTTTTTGAGTTTGCAATTTAATGGAGCTTTGGAAGAATTTGATCAGTCAATTCAAATAAGCTTCTAAGTATGTATGCCGTGGATAACGTTTAAGCCATTACCATGTTTTCTTCTATTTGCGGCGCTCTGATTCTTTCATTATAGTCATATTAATTCAAAGTTTATTGTTTGAGCAATGCTTATGATTGGGACTGAGACTATTTTTTTTTCTCAGGCAGATGTCTGTCATGCCTATCAAATCATGAAGAAAGGAGGGATTAAAGATGAAAACATTATTGTCTTCATGTACGATGACATTGCTTTCCATGAGGAAAACCCTCGACAAGGAGTCATCATTAACAATCCTCGTGGGGAGGATGTTTATGCTGGGGTTCCTAAGGTTTGCCTTTTATCATTCATCTTTGCCCTCCTTACCATATTTGAGTTATTATTTTATGTTGGAACTTTGTCATTGTAGGATTATACTGGAGATCAAGTTACTGTTGGCAACTTCGTTGCTGTTCTCCTAGGAAACAAAACTGCTCTTACTGGGGGTAGTGGAAAGGTTGTTGATAGTGGCCCTGATGATCATATCTTTGTCTACTACACTGACCATGGTGGTCCCGGGGTGCTTGGTTAGTACACTGCGTGCAACTCTTACAATTCTTGGACTATTGTTGTTTACTTGAAAATTTTCTTATTCCTTTAGTAGCTCATTTCTGGTTGGGGGGAAGAAGCCTAGAAAATGAATTTTAAATAGCTTATTTAATTCTTGATTGTCATTATTAGCTCTCAGAATGAGTAATATGTTTAGGTGTCTTTCTATGATACATCTATAGGTGTGTCTTAAGTAGCAACTCTTTCTATGATGATTGCTACATTTTATTTCTATCTGTGTTTCAAGTTGTTGCATCATTTCATTGTCGATCTCTTGACCTTTCTTTATTGATGAATTCTTGAAACTGATATTTTCTTTCGTGCTACTTTTTTTTTTACCAGGGATGCCAATCAATCCTTACCTTTATGCTGATGATCTCGTTGATACATTGAAGAAAAAACATGCTTCAGGAACCTACAAAAGCTTGGTAACTTACCAGCTTTGTTGTTATCTACATTTTGGGAATCTATATTCAGGAAAGTTTTCAAAGATTTTTGTGGATTTTGTATTGCATTGTAGGTATTTTATTTAGAAGCTTGTGAAGCTGGGAGCATTTTTGAAGGCCTACTGCCAAAAGGACTAAATATCTATGCAACAACTGCCTCAAACGCTGAAGAAAACAGTTGGGGAACATATTGTCCTGGAGAATATCCTAGTCCTCCTCCAGAATATGAGACCTGTTTAGGCGATTTGTATAGTATTGCTTGGATGGAAGACAGGTTTGTATATAGCTCTTTACTGAAAATCCGACGCTTACTTTTTGCTGTATGCCTTAGGACACAAAATTTTCCATTTGTTTTTATTCTTTTCTTAATGTTATCTTAGACCTCATTGCTTCTATGTGTATATGCTCTTAACAGAAGAAAATTAATTTTTAGATTGGTGGATGATCTTTTATTGATCATATTTTTACTCAATGTTGTTATCATTGGACAGTGACATACACAATTTACGGACTGAAACTTTGAAGCAACAGTATCATCTGGTAAGACTGAGGCCTTACATTTACTTGTTTTTAGGGCTAAAAGTGAGTAGGATTAGGGCATGTAAGCTGAAGTTTTGATAAACATGAGCTAGCGAATAGATTCTTAGTGATTAGTATGAATTCGATGAATAAACAATCATGTGTCATCTCATTGGAAAAATGATAACATCCTAAAAACCTAAGATACCTAATACCTCTAGTTTTGGTATTCTTAATATTTTGCTTTAATTGAAGGATTTTGCATGATGGTTTTTGCAGGTCAAAGACCGGACTATTGGGCGATCACATGTTATGCAATATGGGGATACAGATCTTAGCGAAGAAGAACTCTTCTTATTTATGGGATCGAATCCTGCTAACGATAATTTTTCTTTCATAGAAGAGAGCAGGTTGCCATCATCTTCAAGGGCTGTTAACCAGCGAGATGCAGATCTCCTTCATTTCTGGCACAAGGTTTGTATAAGATTGTTCTTTTGTAGCTTGTACTTTTAATTTGTTCTGTTGGTTTTGCCTTAAAATTATAGTTAACGTCTGAATTTTCATCAAGTCTCCATTAAGAAAAATCTTGATTCCCTACATATTCTACCTAACTACCCTTTGCACTAGATAGTTTATTTTTCTGCGCCAGTGAAATCTCTCATGCGCAACATTGTTTTTTCAGTTTAAAAAAGCACCTGAAGGCTCACCCAGAAAAGTTGCAGCTCAAGAGCAATTTGTCGATGTTATGACTCATAGGCTTCATATAGACCAAAGTGTGAAACTTGTTGGAAAGTTTTTATTTGGAATAGAGAAAGGTCCAGAAGTGTTGAAAGTTGTCCGACCAGCTGGGCAGCCTCTTGTGGATAACTGGGACTGTCTCAAAACAATGGTAAGAAGCTTTGCATACAGTGTAGATCCTTTTTGCCATATATGTTCCCTTCTGTGTTGGCCAAAATATATGCAATTGATGAATATAAAATTCCTGATCGTTAAGGTCTTTTTGATTTCTGACCTTCCAATGTATCTTTCTGCAGGTAAGGACATTTGAGACTCACTGTGGATCTCTATCCCAGTATGGAATGAAACATATGCGTACCATCGCAAATATATGTAATGCTGGTGTTAATAAAGAGCAGATGGCTGAAGCTTCGGCACAAGCTTGTACGAGGATTCCTCCTGGTTCTTGGAGCTCTATTAATCAGGGATTTAGCGCGTAATCAGTACAAGATGTGGCTATCTAATGACTATTTAATTTCTTTACTGCAATTTTGTTGTAGTTCATGTAAATATCTATCTACTTTGTAAATAGCGTAGCCCCATCAACAGTGCCTGCCCCCCGAAATTCCCTCCCTGTCCTGTCATTCTTATTCTAAGTCAACAGGCCCGTGTGTGGAGTGGGCACTTCTACTTGTGGGATTAATGGTTGCTTATGAATAATGAGTTGTAAATGGTGCGTGTAAGGTATTTCTATATATAATATGAGTTGGAAGCAGAATACATTCTTATCTAAATTGCTACAGAGTCCCCAAATACATGAATAAATTGCGTATACAATTCAGAGAGATTAAATTAAACACATCAAACCAATGGATCATCTAAACATGGAAGAACTACTACTAATAATTCTGATAAATCTAAAAGATTTGCTAGTTGTTACCGAGCTACATACTGCCCAGCAAGGGTATAAATGTAAAACTCACCCAAACATGAGGTAGGCCAGCAAAAAATTTAATCTGTTGTTGTGAATGGGCCTGTGGTTCAGTGGTAGCACCTCTTTCTCAAAGTGGAGAGGTTGCGGGTTCGAAACACGTCAGCAACTGATTGTTTGATATAAGTTTTGCCACGTAATCTAAAAAGGGTAGGAGTCCCTTTAACCACGCTTGCCAATTAAAAAAAAAAAATAA